CCCCCCGCCACACACACACACACACACACACACACACACACACACACACATTCTGATCCACTCTCATAAGTGTCTGGAATTCCTTAGACAGTTCCCTTACATACTGAATCCCTCATGGAGCACTAAGTACGTTTTCCAGAATCTGATTTATATGCAGGGGTAACGTGAACTTTTAACATACATTGTCGGATACTGTGTCGCTTTCTATACAGTTCTTTATTTAATGCAGTCTAATTCTCCCAAAAACAAAAATCTATGAGCCAGACATGAAACCTGAGGTGGGGAGGGGAAGAAAATTATGGTGGGCAGAGAGCCTGCAGGAGTCACAAATCTGGTAAGAAACAAAGACCAGACCCAACCTAGACCTTGCCAGTCTCAAAACCCAAGCATATCAAATGCTCTGTAGACTATCTCCAAGAAAAGGAGCAGATGGTTTCATTTTAATATAAATCTGTAAATTGAGTGTTGGTTGAAATAAGCAAGCAAACAATATCTGCTGTGTTAGAGTTTAATCTTTCGCAATAAATTTAATAGCGTCTACAAACAAAATCTCCAATTGCGTTTTGAAGAAGTTGAAGCATACAGATTATTGGAAATTAAAAATAAACTCTCTCTCTCTCTCTCTCTCTCTCTCTCTCTCTCTCTCTCTCTCTCCTATACCTTCCTCTAGTCTTCCCTCCCTCCCTGTCCCTAAAATGCTTTTGGACACATCTTCCCCATGACCTTCTTATGACGGATCCCCTCTCCCAACTCCAGTAGTAAATGTACTCCCTGGGCAGCACTCCTGAGACTTCATCTAAAGCAGATCCCCTCCTCCTCAGTCTGTTTTATCTAATTCAATATTCCACTTTGAAGCACAACTTGTAATCATTTTGTTTACTGTTAGATGTTTTTGGTTTTGTCGGTCTCCCCACTAAATTGTAGGCTCCAGGAATGAGTTCCTTACATCAGCCCTTCTTGGTTAGACTGTTAGTTAACCCTCGATGTTAGTAGGAAGTAGAGGGAAGAACTCTTCCCCAAATTAGGGAACCGTCAAAGTTAGGAAAGGAAAAGAGCTGTGAAAACAAATAGCCTAGGAGATCCTGACACAGTCTGCTTTCATAAATAACCAAGAGTTAAATAATGGACCACAGACGCCATTCTCTACCCTCTGCAAATTATCTCCTGGAGAAAATCCTTCCCAGATGCCTACTGAGACCCTGACCAAAGATGACTGGTGTAAAGGTGGAACCTTCCTGGATCACATTGATTGAACCAAATTGGCCAAATGATTTCTTTTAGACAAATCCTATTAACCAATCAGAGCTGCTAGTCTGGGGAAGTTTGCCAAGGCTCCCAATGGAGCCCAGGATTCTCTATAGATCAAGAAAGATACAGATGTACTTGATCCAGGGATGGGTTAAGAGAGCCAACAGGAGGAGGAAATGATTCCATCTGGAGGGGGAGCTACGGAAACTCTGAGGACCTTTGGTAGCTTTGGAGTCAAAGAATTCAGCCCTGTGAGGGTTCCACAACCATCTCTGTTCCTGCACTTTGTAAGACAAACTCTCCTTTTGTCTAAACCAGCTTGAGCAAATTCTGACCAAATGGCTCCTGAATGTTCTCCTCCTCTTCTTTCTCCCGGCCCCTCCTGTGGCGGGGGGGGGGGGGGTGCCCACGGGGACAGAAAGGTTACTTATTTCATCCAAAGGCCTCCTTATTTATGTATGGAAGTAATCAAATGCTATTTTTGCACTCAGATCATATCTTATGCACAAATCTAAGTCACAGGGGTGTGACTTCTGAGATGCACTTGAGGATCTTTTATCCTCTCCCATACTTCCTCACTGACAACATTGCTATGGGTTAGTTACTAGACTGAAGCTCCAGCTTCCTAAAAGAACCCACAAAGTCCACACCCAACAGATACCTCTGAGCAGAGGCCATCCCTGTTGGCACTGAGTTCTCACTGTGTCTAGGATCCTACAGGAGAGGAACCCAGCGCACACTGCTCTGGAATGTATAAACTGAGTGGGAACACGTGGGCTGGAGGGTGAGGAGAGGCATCTACTCAGCTATCCTGAACTTCACCAGTTTGAGTTAAATTAGTCCCAATCACAGGTGAGCTGTAGGATAACAGTCATAAAGAATTGAGGATTTCTGAACTGGGTGACAGGCTCAGCATCAGTCTTAGCTTATATGAGCATTAATGCCCCCCCCCCACCAGATATGTCAAAATGAAGAGGAAGAAAGGTCTATATGCTCAAGAGAAAAGAAAGGCATGGGGGAGGAGGAAGAAAATTGCTAGGCAGGAAAGTGCAGCTGTGTAGATCTCACCCTCTTGCCTTCTCCTGTCCCTGCCCTTGCTCGGTTTCACAAGTTTTATTGCCATCCTGACATTCACTAAATTATGATTTGAAATTCATTCACGCAGAAGAACTCACAGCTTATCTGTAAAATTTGAAAAAGCAAATTTAATTTCTTTCCTCAGGAAAAAAAAAAAAAAAAGCTGCAGTCTTATAAACACAACCGATCGACTGTTGGCGTGTGCTCCGTGAGTGGAGCAGGCAAATGCATGGCTTTAATATCCACTCTCTTCACCCTGGAGGTCGGCCTCCAACAGGACCCAACAGGCTGTCCTGTGAGCTTCTCAAAACACCACACTAATGAGCTGCCAACATCTGCACAAACACCCCTGTGAGATGGGGGACGTGGTAGCTGCTCCCTTTGCAAAGGAGAAGAATAAGGTTTGAGGAAAGGGACCGAGTTTCCCCAATGGCACAGTAAACCCACAGAATGGGCCCCAAGCTCTGAGCCACCTGGACCTGATCCCGTGAGCTAAGGTTACCATCTTCTTTCTTTCTTTTTTTTAATATTTATTTATTATGTATACAGTATTCTGCTTGCATGTATGCCTGCATACTAGAAGAGGGCCCCAGATCTCATTACAGATGGTTGTAAGCCACCATGTGGTTGCTGGGAATTGAACTCAGGACCTCTGGAAGAACAGCCAGTGCTCTTAACCTCTGAGCTATCTCTCCAGCCCTAAGGTTACCATCTTAAATGAACCTCTGCCACACAGTCCATTCTTAGATCTAGCATGGTAGGGGCTAGAATAGAAGCAGAAATGTCACTAATGGAGATAGACTTTAGCCATACCATATACAACATCCATGTGCATATATCTAAGGCAACCCTATTTTTTTTCCACATGGTTCATGAACAAAAGTTTTAGGAAAACTCATGGCCATCTCCAGAAGTGCTGTCTTCCTTAATGTATGTGAGTGGCACACTATTCCATGTGGATGTGGGGTCCAAGGAGTTATTTCTGTATACGATTCTTAATTTAGCACAGGATATAAATCTAATTGGAACTGTTTTGATCCACATCTGGAATTTTCCAATGAATAACCCATTGCCTAATTGGTCCCTTGAGTTAACAAGTGGTTGCTATTTTGATGACTGAGTTTTCCTATCTGTAACAACGTTTTGTTGCACTTAGTTCAACATTCTTTTTAAATTTAATTTTTAATTAATATTGTTCTTATTTTGCACAAGGAACAATGCTAGATATCAAAGAAAGGAAGGAAGGAGTGAGGGACCAGAGAGTAAAGATAAATGGTGTGCAGGCTGGGGGGTGTACCTTTGTTGATAAGAATGTTTTGCCTAGCATACATGAAACCCCAAGTCTGCTCCCTAGCAATTCATTGGGACTCACAATATGAAAGAGGCAAGAGAATAAGAAGTTCAAGGTCATCCTTGGCTATGTAGAATTTAAGGTCAGCCTGAGATACATGAAATTTTGTCTTAAAAAAAATCCCAGGCATTATATGAGCCAGGGAGGTCATAATGGGGGAACCCACAGAGACAGCTGACCTCAGCTCGTGGGAGCTCATGAACTCTGGACCAACAGTTAGGGAGCCTCCATGGGACCAAGCTAAGCCGTGTGTGTGTGTGTGTGTGTGTGTGTGTGTGTGTGTGTGTGTGTGTGTGTGTGTGTGACAGCTGTGTAGCTTGGTCTCTTTGTAAGGGTCCTAGCAGTGGGATCAGGACCTGTCCCTGGCTTTTGGGAACCTGTTCCCCATGCTGGATTACCTTGCCCAGCTTTGACACAAGGGGAGGAACTTGGTCCTGCCTCAACTTGATGTGCCATGCTTTGTTCAAGCCCATGGGAGGCCTGCCCCTTTCTGATTGGAGATGGAGGAGGAGTAGAGGGGTGTGTAAATGGGAGGGAGGGACTGAGAGGAGAGGAGGGAGGGGAAACTGTGGTCGGCATATAAAATAAATTTTAAAAATGTTATTTAAATAAGATAAAAATTCCAAGAGATAAATAATAAATGTACAGTTTTCTGTTTCCAGAAACATGGGTGCTATTTGTATAAACAACGGCCAGAATTGGACACTGAGTCAACGATATCAGAATGCTGAGAAAAAGACAATGAATGCTATGAGTCGGCCAGAGACAAAAGGAGAGTAATTATACAGCTTCAAGAAGGGGCATTTGAAGGAGTGTACATCACGGAGAGGGAATAAAGTGTGAGGGGGTGAAGGAGAGCTGGGCACTCTAGACGGGCGAGACAGCACTTCAAAGATGGATGGGAGCAGAAAGGCTAAGGAGGAATACGTTAAGTGTGGGTTGGGGTGAGACTGTGAACGACTTTGGATTTAGCTCCACAGGCAGTGGGGAGCTACCAACGGCTTTTTAGTAAGAGAATCAAGTGCTCCCCTGACAGCCCAAAATACCTGGGGTACTTCTGAAGGAGAGCTGAATCACTTCCTTATTTAAATCACTGTATTTGGGGAATGTATCAGTTAGCCTTACCTTATCGCAGAAATGCCCTCATTTTACAAAGGAACCTGAAGCTTAGAGAAGACAGCAACCTAGCCAGCATCATGCTGTACCATTCTGTGGCAGAACCAGGAT